CTAAGAAAGGAAGAAGCAAAGCGAGTCATTTTTTGCTCTAAGAATCCTCCACAGAAAAAGTATTCTTTTTAGAAAAGAGTGTATATGTATATCTATCTATACTTATGCTATAGCATCATATTGTATGAGATATGTCTTGCACGAGATTGCATGAGTAGTATATATTATAGCATGAGTTTGCTTATGAGATATGTCTTGCACGAGATTGCATGAGTAGTATATGATAGCATGAGTTTGCTTATGAGATACGTCTTTCACGAGCTTGCACGATTAGTATATGATAGCATGAGTTTGCTTATGATTATAAGTCTTGCACGAGATTGCATGTTTAGTAGCATGAGATTGTCTATGAGTTATTTGATAGCATGAGATTGCTTATTTGGTTATATGAGAAAGCATGAGATTGTTGAGTACTTGAGAAAAGTTTAGGACATGATTGGCTAGTCTAAACTCTCATGTTATTTTGGGTTTGTAGTTGACTACCTTCTTTTGTTGGTGTTGAATACCGGGGCTTAGTTCCCCAAGTTTGGTTGTAGTACTTTTGAGCTTGACCCTTTTTAGATCCCTTTTGTAGCCTGTGCGGTCACCGTGGGCGGTGATTGTGGCGGTGACACCTCTTTATATTTATTTAGTTGTTTTACTCCGCTGCTTTAGTTTATCTTTAATAGTTTTAGTTTCTTAATTAAGTTTAAGAAAAGTGGGGTGTTACAGCTAGTTCGTCAACTAGCACTTTTACAACGCAAAGTGTCTCACACAAAGCTACACTTCTACACCCAGTAGAGAATCTTTTTACAAGAAATTTCAAATTTTCTTTTCTCTCCAACACTTTGAGACATTATAAAGATTAGTCTCTATCAAGTAGAGAATCTATTTACAAGAAAATTCAATGAAAAATATAGAACCTGAAGATTTGCTTTGATACTCTCAGATTTTCCCACTTTTCATATTTTTTTTTGATTCTTCATGTCTTCATGCCCTTTTATAGATGATCAAATGTATCCGTTGGAGCAAGATAATTTGATTTTTCAAATCTTAGAACTTGTAGCCTGATAAGATGATAAATTATAAAGTTTTATGGTTCAGTTAGAAAGTTTATTAAATGGTTTTTGAAATGTCAAGGAGAGGGGTTTTAACAATGTGAAAGTAGGGAATATAAATGTATTCCAGCTGTGGATTACAAATATGCGGCTGCAGGGAGGGTTGTAACTGATCGCCCGGTGAAGCTTGTGATTTTCCGGGATGTGATGGCAACAGCGTGGAAACCGCCGAAGGGGGTAAATGTTTGTGTGTTAAGTGCAAATCATTTGCTTTTTACGTTCTTTCATGGGAAGGATATCTCTCAGGTATTAAATGATGGACCATGGACTTTTGATCAAAACCTAGTTTGGCTGCATCGGCTGATGACGTCTGATGATCCTTTGACTGTAGCACTGGAAAAGTCGGCCTTTTGGGTGCAGGTTCACGGCCTACAAATTGGTTTTTTGTCAGAAAAGGTGGCAAAATTTGTGGGAAATTTTGCAGGGGTGTATGTTGTTGCTGATCCAAGAAATTTCAAAGTTGGGGTAGGAAATTTTATGCATGTCCGGGCTCTCTTGCAGGTGTCAAAACCGATTAAGAAACGCATGAAGATCAAGAGGCTAGGAGGGGAGTGGGTATGGGTTAATCTTCGTTATGAAAGATTGCCTTCCTTCTGCTTTTTCTGTGGCGTAATTGGTCATTTGGATAAGTCTTCTCCTTCGCGTCATGATATTGTGTGTGAAGGAACGGAAAAAACGTTTGGTGCATGGCTACGGGCAGGTGGCCGGAAGGTGACGATGGCTCCGATAAACCGCTGGCTTGTGCCTGATTCAACGGTGGCAACGCATGGAGGTGCCGGTGGAAGTCAAAGTCCTGTAACGGTTGGCAATGATGAGTCTTTAATGCCTTATTTGGGAAGGGGAGGGGAGAGTGTGGAGGCTGTTACTGTGGACGTGGGTTTGCATGAAGGGTTTGAATTAAATGGGAATATTAATGGTGAGGGAGAAATTAAAGGTGTGGTTATAACAAATGCGAAGAGGCGTAGGGTAGGGGATGATGCTGAGGGAGTTAATGAGAATTGGACCAGTCCAATGACAATTGAGAAGAAAAACTCTATTTCTTATGAGGCGGGCTCTGGGATCCAGGCCCACCCGGCCCAATGAGTTATTTAAGTTGGAACTACCGTGGGCTTGGAAACCCACTTGCAGTTCAAGTTCTTTTGGGCTTGGTTTGTTATAGAAAGCCCAATGTTTTATTTTTGTGTGATACCAGTCATATGGAGAGGGTGCGAGTGAAATTGAAATATGATAATTGCTTCGCTGTGAACGCTGCAGGGATGAGTGGAGGGCTCGCCCTTTTATGGAATGCCGGTCTTGATGTTGAGGTACGGGGATATTCAAACCATTACATAGACTTTGTTATTACCGCCGAGGATGGGGGGACACGATGGCGCTTCACCAGTTACTACGGTACTCCGGATAGAAATCAGCGGCGTGAATCCTGGGACATAATAAGGAATCTCTCCACTCTCTATGATCTCTCATGGGTCTTAATGTGGGATTTTAATGATTTGTTGAGGGAGGATGAGAAGGTCGGTCGAGTTTCACACCCTCAATGGCTTTTGCGGGGATTTGAGGAAGTAGTTCGAGAAAGTGGCATGTCGAACTTTGACTTCGAAGGCTATTAATACATCTGGGAAAGGGGAAGGGGGATTAGTAGTTGGGTACAGGAGAAATTAGACCGTATTTTGGTTTCAGGGGAGTGGAGGGACCTATTTCGGGGAGCTAGGGCTTGGTCTTTAAAGGGTAGTAGCAATGATCTCCTTCCTCTTCTTCTAACCGTAAGTGCAGCAAACCTGACTAGCTCTAAAAGGCGGCCTAGGTTTGAAAATATTTGGAGGAGGAATTAGGCTTGTGAGGGGGTGGTGGTCAAAATTTGGTCTTTGTTGGAGGGGGTGGAGATTGGGGACAGGTTGAGGGAGTGTGGTCGGGTAGTGTGGGAATGGGGTAGGAGGCAGCAAAAGGGGGGATTCGAAAGTTATCCATCTCTGTAAGAAAAAACTGGGGCTTTTACGGGAAAGGAGAGATGATGTATGTTTGAGGGAGTTTGGGGACTGCCAGCGAAGGTATCTGCAAATTCTCTGGGACCAAAGCGATAATTGGCTGCAACGAGCGAAGGAGATCTGATATAGGGGAGGGGGATAGTAATACAAGTTTTTTCCACAATTCTATGAATAAACATAGGAGGAGAAATCGAATCCAAAGACTGAAGGATTCGGCAGGGATGGTCACGAGTGATGAGCAACGTATGGGTTCTATCATGGTGGAGTACTTTGCAAATATTTTCTCCTCGACATAAGGTGATGCACGACCTATTTTGGAACTGGGTTTAGTGATCATTGGGTACGGTTGATAAAAGAATGTTTCTCAATTGTTCAATACAAGATTCTGGTAGAAGGGAAAGAGTTGGGCCTTGTTGTTCTAGGTAGGGGTCTGCGGCAGGGGATCCGTTGTCACCATGTTTGTTTATTCTAGTAGCCGAGAGTCTTAGTGCTATGTTGAGGGTCCAAGAGGAGGGGGGAACTTTACATGGTTTGAGGATTGCGAGAGGGGCCCCGGATAAAACCCACTTATTTTTTCGCGGATGATTGCCTTTTTTTTTCTTCTGAGCAAACTCTTTTCGAGCAGATGTCCTAAAAAAATACCTTGCAAGAGTATTCGGGGGGGCCGGGGGGGGGGGGGGGGGGAGGACTAGTGGTCAATTGGTAAATCTAGAGAAAACCTCGATTGTCTTTGGGAGAAATGTGCATCTGGAGGATAAGGAGGCTGTTTGTGAAACACTTGGTATTCTTGAATAGCATGGTCAAGGTAAGTATTTAGGTTTACCTGGGTACGTTAAGAGACGGAAGAGGGAGATCCTGGGGTTTATTCGGGATAAGTTTAAGGCGAGAGTGATGCACTGGGAAACCAGTTTTTGTCTAAGGGGGGCTGGTCTATTGAAAACTGTTCTTCAAAGCATACCAAACTATGCCGATGAATGTGTTTCTCCTCCCTAAAGGTTTGAGTGATGACATTGAGAAAATTATGAACTCCTTTTGGTTGGGTTGTGAGAGAAGGGAAAGTGGGGGAATAAGGTAGAGTACTTGGAGTGATTTGTGCAAGGCAAAAAAGTTTGGGGGGATGGGCTTCCGAAGGGTTCGAGAGATGAATCTTGCTATGTTAGGAAAGCAAGGGTGAAATTTTTTAAATGAACCGGACGGGCTTTATTAACAAAAGTGTTTAAAGCTAAATACTTTTCGCATTGTTCCTTTCTTGATGCGAAAAGGGGGTCAAACCAATCGTTTGTGTGGACCAGTATTTGGGAAACTCAGAATTTGTTGAGTAAGGGGGTTAGGAGGAGGATAGGAAATAGGGAGGAGACTAGAGTGTGGGGGACCCTTGGTTACCTGATGATTTAAATCCTTACGTTGTTACTCCAGAGCAAGCTTACTTGAATAATCCCTGTGTGCGTTCTCTCTTTTGCATAGAGTCCCGCACTCGGGACTATGAGTTGCTTCGAGATATCTTTTGTGTGCGTGATGTCCAGCTTATTATGAGTGTGCCAATTCCTTATGGGGATGCTCAGGACTCTCTTTATTGGAGTAGGGAGGATGGGGAGTTTTATTCGGTAAAGAGTGAGTACAGAATTGTGTTGGGGAGGGGAGGAGTGAGGATTGTGTAGTTTGGAGGGGTGTGTGGAATTTGCATTTACCACCAAAAGTTAAGTGCTTTTTCTGGAATTTATGTACTTTTCGGTTGCCTACCAAGGATGTTCTTTTGGCAAAACATGTGAATTATGATCCAATGTGCCTATTATGTTGTAGAGCGAATGAAAGTAGTGTACATCTCTTTGCAAATTGTGATTTTTCTCATCAATGTTGGCTTGTACTTAATTGTGATTGGTCATTATCTTATGTTGATTCCATTGATAATTGGCTTGAGGAGATGTGGACTAGGCTGTCAAAAGGAATGTTGGAGATGGTGGTAGTGGTGGCTTGGGCAATATGGGAGGCTAGAAATGCTTTGGTTTGGAATCAGAAAGGTACCAACCCAAATTCACTTGTGCAACAGGCCCGATCTTGTGCTATAAATTGGCAGATGATTGCGAAGGGAAATGACCAGCACGTGAGCTGCCCTGTGACAGCACTAATGCATGCGACTAATTCTGTTGCGTCACCCGGGGATCTTCGCGTGAACATCGACATTGATATGGATCGTTGTCGAAACAGGATGGGGTTTGGGTGTAGTCTTTTTTATTAGGACGACACCATACTGGGGGAAGTTATGTTTGCCAAAGAGGGGATGCATACGGTCCGTGAAGCCGAAGCTATGGGAACTAGAGAAGCTTTGAGTTGGATAAAGGAGAAGGGGTGGAAGAGAGTTATTCTTGAGACCGATGCCCTGATTGTCACTCAAGCTGTCGCAGGGGGAAATAATATATCTCCCTTTGGCTCTATTATTGAAGATATTCGAGAATTGATGCGGCAACTTCCTATGGTCTGTTTCCGGTTTGTACCTAGAAGGAAGAATATGGTGGCTCATACCCTTGCAAAGCATGCTCTAAATTGTGTTGGGACTCAAAGAATTGAGCTTTATGATTATATTCCTCGTTTTTTGCCTATTCTTGTTTCTAAGAATACTGCTTCTACTTAATATATGAAATGTTTTGTTTTTCAAAAAAATAAAATTGTACTTAGAACCGATGGTTAAAAATCATAGATATACTGATAGGCAAATAGAGAGGGATATATATATATATATATATATATATATATATATATATATATATATAGGGTTGCATTCAAATACAAACCCCCTTAAAATACAAACTTGAGCTCGTGCACACATTAACATACTTACATGCACACAAGGCGTACTGCCAACACTTTCTGGGATTAGCACGTGCACACATTAACATACTTACATGCACACAGCGCGTAGGAGGAAAAATCACAAACATCCATCAAAGCTCGTGCACACATTTACATACTTACATGCACACAGCTCGTAGGAGGAAAAAATCTGGACCGTCCAATACCACCATCCAGCGGCGTCAAATTGTCCATAGGTTTGTATTTTAAGATGTGTTTTTACCTGAATGTAAATCTATATATATATATATATATATATATATATATATATATATATATATATTTCAGCTCAAATACGGTCATGCCTTAACGTGTGGACGATACGGCCGCACCATTACGTATGTAAAAACGCACCAACAGTGTTAGAAAACGCACAACAATGAAATGCATCAATGCACCACACACCCAAAAAAATGCATCATAGCTCTCACACCTAATTGTGCATTTTCGAACACTGTGTGGTGCTTTTATGCATACCTAATTGTGCATTTTGTGGTGATGCGTACCTAATGGTGCGTTTATGGGTGCATTGGTGCATTTTTTTGTTGTGCGTTTCCTAACACTATTTGAGCGTGTTTGCATACCTAACGGTGCGGCCGCACTGACCTCACTGGAACTTGGCCCTATATATATATATATATATATATATATATATATATATATATATATATATATATATATATATATATATATATATATATATATATATATATATATATATATATATATATATATATATATATATATATATATATATATATATATATATATATATATATATAGTAGGATTCCAATGAGAACACTTGCTTAGGTGAGAATAACTTGAGAACAAATCGTGTGCATCCATTTAAGATTTTTTAAGGATCTAGATTAGATAAAATGTGTGCGAACACGAATTAAATATATGCAAACACACTTAATCACCTTTGCACACATTTAATTTGCGTTCGCAGACACTTAATCTAATTTAGACCATTCAAAAATATTAGATGGATGCACACGATTTGTTCTCACGTTCTCACCTAAGCAAGTGTTCTCATATGATCCTATATATATATATATATATATATATATATATATTTTGGTTCCTGTGAGGTCAGGTCTTCCCGTGCGGTCAGTGCGGCATACACCATTAGGTATGCATAAATGCACCATACAATGTTAGAAAATACACCAGAATGAAATGCCAAAAAATACATCACACAAAAAAAATACACCACACATAATGGTGTATTTACGAACACTGTGTGGTGCATTTATGCATACCTAATGGTGTATGCCGCACTGACCGCACGGGAAGACCTGACCTCACAGGAACCTGACCCTATATATATATATATATATATATATATATATATATATATATATAGGCGGGTTCAGGTGCGGCGGTGTCTTATGGTGCTGCAACACCAATAGTTCACCAAATATGCACCATCAACGTTAGGAAATACACCACACAAAACAGAGTAAACAGAGCCCTGCATCACCAAACACACACCATTAGGTGTGAGTAAAAACACCATACACTGTTCGGAAATACACCATTGGGGGTGGTGAGTTATATGGTGTGTTTTTTTGAGTCTGTGGTGTATTTTGTGATGTTTTATTACATTTCATTGGGGTGTGTTTTTATTACACTGTTGGTGCATATTGTTAACACTGTTGGTGTATTCTGGAATTTGACCGCACCGTCGCACCTTAAGACCCCGCCGCATATGAGCGCTCTTCTATATATATATATATATATATATATATATATATATATATATATATATATATATATATATATATATATATATAGAGAGAGAGAGAGAGAGAGAGAGGAAGGTTCAAGTGCGGCGGTGCGATCAATTGTAGGCCATTAGATTAGATAAATCCAATGAATCACATTCGGCAGTGCTTCTCCGATATTTTCGCGCACGTTCTCACTCTACGCGAACTGCAAGGCTAAAGTCGTCACTGGGCACCAGAAGAGGGCAAATCATAGTGCTGTGTGTTTTATGTTCGTTATTTGTGCATTATTAACCTTACTCAGGTGTATTTGTGGATTCGTGTTGGTGCCTTCCCGTGCAGTCAGTGCGACCGCACTAATAGTTATAGAAATATACACCATCCATGTAGAAATTGCACACCAAGAAAACATGCATAAATTCAGTACGCATCACCAGGACACACCATTATGTATGAATAAAAGCACCACACAGTGTTCTGAAATACAGCATTGGGGTGGTGAGTTATATGGTGTATTTTTTGGGTGTGTTGTGTGGTATTTTGGTGTATTTGTGCATTTCATTTTTGTGCTTTTCCTAACACTATTAGTGTCTTTTGTTAACATTGTTGGTGTATTTTGTTAACAATGTTGGTGTAGTCTGTTAAACGACCGATATAAATGACCACTATAATTACCGTAATACCCCCCCCCCCTCCACTTACCAAGACGCACTTAAATCTTCAAATCTTCAGAAATTAGCCGCTGCCGTCAGATTAAGCAAAATGGACGATACTGATATGACCGCACCGCCGCACCTAAGGACCCTGCCGCATATGAGCCTTATTCTATATGTATATGTATATATATATATATATATATATATATATATATATATATATATATATATATATATATATATATATGTATATATATATATATATATATATATATATATATATATATATATATATATATATATATATATATATATATATATATATATATATATATATATATATATATGACGCAGTTCAAGTGCGGAGATGCTCCCAGATGAAAGATGCATGGGGTGAGCTTTGAGCCCTTGATCAAATCTAGATCAACGGCTCAAATCAATGAAAAAAAAAATTTATAAAAAAAAAAAAAAAAAAAGCCATGTCTTCGGTTAAAGAAGCAAACTGTAAAAAATGATGCACCTTAAAAATGAAAACTACACACCTTAAGAAGGAAAACCACGCAACTAAAGCTTTAGACCGATGCACCTTAAGTTTCAACAACTAAAACGCCTTAAACGCACAGACCACACATACACCATAAGAAGGAAAATAAAGCACCTAAGTTTAAACAAAAATAAAATAAAATAAAAAAACACTTTAAGTTCTAAACTGAAGAACTGACGCACCTTAAGTACAGAAGACATGCACCTTAAGAAGAAAAAACACGCATCTTATGTTTGAACTAAACACAAAATGACCAAATTGCTACCGCCTTTTTTTTTTTGTAATCTGTGTTCAATCTGGACCGTTCTTTTTAGCGAGATCAACGGCTATCATTCAACCCCACACTAGTACAAAACTGCACATCCGCTACTGTTGCAAAGGGCATTTTGTAACTGCACATCACCGCCGCTGCTATCGCCTCACAAATGGTTGTCGTTGGTGAGAACATCTGTAGAAAAAAAAGGTTGCAGATAGAAAATTATAGATATGAAAGAGAATAAGAAAATTGAGAGAAGAAGGAAATCAGATTTGGGAGATCAGTACATGAGTTGTCGTCAGTGGTAGGGGGTTTGGCAGCGCTATCTCCTTCATCAGCGGTGGCTGAGGCAAGCATTGTGTCGACAGTGGCGTTGGAGCCTGGCAGGGGCATCGACGGCCGACAGAGATTACAGATCTAAGAGAGTGAGAGAAAGAGTCGGCGATTGTAGCGGTGGAGGCGGAGGTTGCGTCGCAGTCGTAGTCCGGTGAGAGTGAGAGAGAAGGGAGAGTGAGGAGAGTGAGAGAAAAATGGAGAGGGAGAGTGAGATTTGATATGAAGGTAGCTAGTGAGAAGATAGAGCCGCCGAATTTTTTTAATACTAAGTTTCTGCCACCGTTCTACGAGGAACAGTGGCGAAAACTAATTATTTAATTTTTTAAAAATGCGGGTAGTTTCCGCAACTGTTATTTAGAAAAAGTTGCGGATTCTTATTCAAATATTTACAATTATGTCACCGCGTGTTTTTTTTTTTAAAGAATACATCACTATTCATTTTAGAACAGTTGCTAAAAGTGTTCTTTGTTTATTTTTGTACTAGTGTATCATCTTTCAACTGGGCACAATATCCGTATTTGATATCTTTATATATATATATATATATATATATATATATATATATATATATATATATATATATATATATATATATATATATATATATATATATATATATAGAGAGAGAGAGAGAGAGAGAGAGAGAGAGAGAGAAAGGGTTGCATTCAAATACAAACCCCCTTAAAATACAAACCCCCCTTAAAATAAAAACTTGAGCTTGTGCACACATTAACATACTTACATGCACAGAGGGCGCATTGCCAACAATTTCTGTGATTAGCTCGTGCACACATTAACATACTTACATTCACACAGCGCGTAGGAGGAAAAACCACAATCATCCATCAAAGCTCGTGCACTATAACACCCCCTAAAACCATGCTATTTAAAGCCTTAAAACAAGCAGATAACTTTAACCAAAACACTAAACACAGCGGAAGACTTAGAGAGAAGATATGTATAAAGCAAGGAAACAGGGTGCTATGCCACGCTCACCCAATGGTGAACGCACAAGCTAAATCTGCATTGTTTAAAATCTACAACCATCTGACAGAGTACAACGTCTAGATTGGCTCACAGGCCACAAAACATAAAAAGCGGAGCTATACTAGCTGGCACTAGACCGCGCACTCATCTAAGCATCACCTGAAAGAAGCATATAAAACATGAGACGATGCCCGGTCAGCGAATAATGCTGGTAGCCCACCAATACATGTGAAATATCATACATAGATAATATATAAGTTTGTAAAGCCATT